ACACCAGTTATTCGAAGTCAGTGGATGTTTACAGCATGACAGTCTCTTTTTGGAAAATGCTGACACAAAGATTGGACCAAGTGGTGAATCCTCACTCCTTGAGGATCCATTCATGTCCGCCATTTCTTCAAAGTCTCTTTGATCGGTGAGAACCTCCTAACTTCTACCTGTCTAAAAGCATCCACATTGGGAAGTAGAGTTGATGGAAACTTTTGCGCTTGCAGTGGAATGGAAGCAGATCCGTGTCAGCGACCATCAGCGACACAGCTGGTCCGACTCTTCGATTTGATCAAGTGCAGTCTGCACGATGGACACTTCGCAATTGTGCATTCACCTCGAGAACGCTGAAGCTCCCAGTACCTCTCAAGGAATCAGCATCATCACCGTAAATGAGTATAATTTTTGGAGAAATCTTAGCAATCTTGTAATCTTCAGCATACCTTTCATACCCTTCAAAACATCGTCATACCTTAACCATTGGTTTGTTATCCATGTTGTTGGTTACGATGGATGCACTGTTTCGTCCTCATTGTAAACAGCACATACCGTTACAGTACAGATACGCCAACCCGTATTTGTAGCAATTGATAGCAAACACCAGAAAGATTTACCTATATTGACATGTGAATTTCGAGTCATTCATATCGAGACGTTCCCATGTATATGCTGCTCAGCGATCGCAGTGAGGTACCAAAGAAATATCCAACACCTTTATTCCTCACGTAAACGTCTTGTAAGGTACTAAAGGTGCTTCCAAGTACGCACCAGTTAAGTGATGTAAAGTTGCTCAATTGCATTTTGCGATTTGTCACCAAGCTGTGATACATCAAAAATGCAGGAAAATGGAACGAGGCCTAGGTGTACCAACATGCGGCCACGACCGGGACAGCAGTTAGTCGTAATTAAGTTTGCTTTTGATCGGTCACGCCGTTTGCTGCAGAAAGTCCGAGGCCATTTCAGACTTCTCGTCTGTAAACCGAGAATAGGAGTTTGCATTTGATCGGTCACACCGTTTGCCGCAGAAAGAATGCGCTGTCCTACGTTGGTGATCGAAGGCCATTACAGAGTTCTCGTCTCTAAACGGAGAATATTAGCATGATCCAAAGCCCACCCTGCAGAGCGAAAATACAGTCTGCAGGGACTCAAATCCCCGCACAGTTAAGTAAAGTACTAAATCACTACAATAGAAATGAAGGACCTTTTACAGGAACGTGGATCGTACAAATTTCTTTGTGAGAAAACAAACCAACCTATTAGACTCTACAGGCAAAAACCGAAAGCTCAATACTTCATCATGATTCCATGACTATTGATCTCGACTTTTAAGCTTAAAACAGAGGCCTCACCTCTTTGATTAGTCGCCGTTAAAAACAATTTTTCAAATCATAGTAGTCTGTGCACAAATTAAAAAAAATGATAAAATGGTTAAGAAGGAAAATGCTATGTAAAATGGACAACAATAGCTATGTAGCAGAAATTCTTCCTCACTCGATTATTAGCAATCAAACTACAGCATCACTCAAGAAAAAAAATTGGGCACTAAATTAGGTGCAACCGACTATTCGAAGCCAAAAGAACACGTGCCACACGTGATGCAGTAAAATTATTTGCCATTGAGGTGAAAGGCTGAAAAGTGGTAAGACCTCCCTTTGGATTCCAGCGAAATCTTCATTTATTTGCCGCGGTTAGAGATTGCATGAAGTGGAGTCTAACAACCTGTCTATGTAGCATTTTTCATAAAGCCTACAACCAAATTCCTGTAGTCAAACACTGCGAACATGATCAGATTTCGTTCTCAATCGAGGCTGGGAAAGAAACCCATGTATCAACTCGGTGCTGCTGTAGTGTTCTCACTTTACACTATTAGGGAAATGGCCAAATCAACGGCGTCGCGCAGAACGTGTTCTAAATTAATTTGTGGCAAATGACCGCACCAAACTGTCACAACTAAAGACAAGATAATTCTAAGTCAGTAAAAAGCGCTACAGGTTGATCATGGACCGCGCGAAGCCACACTTTCAGTTCCCTTGAGTGAGGGTTGAAGTGGTTAGAAAATCAAACCATAACAATAAAACATCGACTACAGTCGCCGACATTCCGCTGGGAATCTGGCAAAGAACGTGTCAGGAAATATTTGAAGAGGGAAAGCTCGGGTACATTTAAGCCTGGAAAATGTGTAAAAGTTTTAATTGAATGCAAGAATCCCTTGACTTTCGTTCCTCAAAGGATGTAAACCTGAGGCAGTGGGCTAGACATGAAGGTTAAGCGCACTTTATTGCTGACCTAAATAGCCGTTTACAATCAAAGCGAACTAAGTGATTAAGCAGAATCGTGATTTAACTAAGCCAATTGTAGATCTGAGTGAATAATTGCGGGAATTTAGCGAAACCAAAAGCAATACTACAGAATAAGTGTTTAAATGACAAAACAACACATTCTAATAGAAAAAGAGCGGTAAGTGATGATTGAAATCACCACAAAGGTAGTGTAAAACTCGCTAAAACCTACGACGCAACATCTTTCGCCATCGTAATGCTCTCTACGGCAGCAGTAGCGAACATAGATGCGACGCAACTTGTATATATATTCCATTGGGACTCAACTGGATCTACCTTCACTCTTCTCCCTTACCATATCGAGCTTAAAAGGTGAAAAAATCCAAACTTTGAATGACTCTACTAATATATGCAAAAAAACCACTGAAATAGCACTCAAATACTGATATCCGTCAATATTTGAGAATGAAAAACAGTCCCTTAAATATCGCCCAGAATATGCGCTTCCACTACTCTAATATCTTATGCACATTGGTAGTGATTGTTAAGGGTGATTCACATGTAATTGAGTGCAGAAGCAGAGTACAAAAAGTGGAGATTTCAACAATATGACAAGGTTGTGAAATAAAGCAAAAAGATGAAGAGGATAAGTTGTAGAATTTGCCTTGGATTAAATGAGGCAAGCAAGTTTAGGTGCAATTATCTACTTCCACCTCCCTTCAAGCTAATTTAGATAAAATATGACAATAAAGTCATCAAGATTTTAACCCAGTACGACGCCTGTACAAACAGCAACCATACCAACAGCCCAGAAAAGTAGATTTCTGCCGACGGAACTAACGGAAAAAAAAGTCAAATACACATGTCTAAAGAAAAGCAACTACAAAGATGAGGAAAACTTCGCATCATGTCTTACAAGTCGAACTAGTAAGTAAATACACCTAAAAATATATAAAGATGACTAGGACACCGTGTGAGCACGCTGGCTCAAAATAACGATGCGCTACTTACGGGTTATAGCCTAATTT